TTTTTTTATTTTATTTTTATCTGTTGATTAGCGCCGGGAGGAAAGTATTGTTAGGTTGGTTTCCTACCTGCGTTTTCCCTCCCCACCCACCCTGTGCATGCATTTCCAAGTTGGTACAGCGCCACGTCAGCAGTGCCACGTAAGCAGTGCCACGTTAGCAGTGCCACGTTAGCAGTGCCACGTCAGCAATAGTGCCACGTCACCAGTGCCACGTCATAGTGCCACATAAGCAACAGTGCCACGTCAGCAGTGCCACGTCAGCAGTGCCACGTCAGCAGTGCCACGTCAGCAGTGCCACGTCAGCAGTGCCACGTCACAGTGCCACGTAAGCAACAGTGCCACGTCAGCAGTGCCACGTCACAGTGTCACGTAAGCAACGGTGCCACGTAAGCAACAGTGCCACGTCAGCAGTGCCACATAAGCAACAGTGCCACGTCAGCAACAGTGCATGTCAGCAGGCCACGTCACAGTGCCACGTCAGCAGCACCCCGCCACCATGACGGGCGCAGCTCTGGGCATGCCAGGCCAACTGGCCAATGAGTCTCTTGCCGACTACAAACAGCGGTTCCAGGCTCAGATCGCTCTCATCGAGGTTGAGGAACAGCGCCAGCTGGCAGTCGAGTCTGCCCGCCTACGGGCTGAAGCAGCGACAATAGCTGAGAAGCAGCGGCTACAGGCCGAAGCAGACGCAGATACCCAGGCACGCCGCAAGGAGGCCCAGGTTCTGCTGCAGCGGCATGAAGCTGCCAGCGTCGGCAGACTCAAGTTCTGGCACTTTGAACCGGCCAACGGCGACGACGCGACACCAGAAGAGAAGCATAAGGAGTTCCTCTCCAAACTCGTGACACGGTTGTTGTACGCTTGCAACTACCAACAATCCGAGTTAGAGAGACAGAACTAGGAACTGCAGCAACAGTACCAGGATCTGAAGACACAGCACCAGGAGTTGGCGAACCTCCGTCGGATGGTGCAGAGCCACGAGGATGCTACACGGGCACTCAACTCCCGTGTACTGGACCTGGAGCAAGCTGTACCAGGACCATATGCTGGTGAGTCCAGCAGTGCACCCTCTAACCGCCAACTAGAGCAACGCGTCGACCACGTCGTCGCAATGCTCGGCGACATCAGCACCTTCGTTGCGCCGACCACCATCAACAATCAGCTGGATACTTTGAAGACTGAGGTCCAGCAACTGCAGTCGACGAACACGGATGACAACAATCCTAAGCAATACAAGATGTCAACTTTTCAATTGGAGAAGTTCGATGACTACACGCATCAGGACCCGGTGCTCTGGTGGGAAGCTTTCACGACGCAACTGCGGATTCTGCCTGTCGCCAAGCACGCGTACATCGGCGCCCTGTTCATGAACTCAAAGGGCGGATGCCAGATCTGGTTAACCCACCTGGCAGCCACCCACGGCGTCGACGTCGCAGATCTGAGAGACAAGATCACATAGGAAGAGTTAACACAGCTGTGGAAGAAGCAGTTCATCGTCGACGACGCACCAACACTTGCCATCAACTGTCTCTTCACCATGACTCAAGGCAACACAGCAACACGTGACTGGCTCACGGAATGGCAGAAGATCGCGGCAACGCCCGATCTTGACTTACCATTT